TTTACTTTTAGTATTCTAATGCAAAGTCTTCACCCATTGTCTTCTTGTCCCCTTGCAAATGATGAAGCCTTGTCCTCACAAAGATGCCAAATGCTTCAGAAAATATCTCATCTACTAAGGTAAATTCTTGTTACCAAGTGTTATGGTAACAAGAATAATCAAGATGACACAATGGGGGTAAAAGCTGGCCAATTCCGGATTTCCAGAGCTGTGGTAACATGCTGGATTGGTTGGATAGGCAATACTTGTCCAATGGAGCTCAAATTTGGATATGTTGTAGTTAACATCCATTGGAACAAGTCTCATGAAGATCATGACCTCATCCGAGCACCAGAGTATGTTGATCCCAGGCCAAGAAGTTGACCTACGAAAATGAACAAAATCAGAATTTATAACCAATAATGCACTTTTAGCTCATTTTCATCCCAACCAAGGTAAAATCTAAGAAAACACAAAAAAGAAGTAAAAAGCTATAAAATGTCAAGAACTAACTCAAAATAGTGGGTGAATAACATGAAAAATCATGTGTAAAAATGAACCGAACAGTTTGCACAAAACAAACCGCAAAGTTGGTCTTCTCAAACCCTAAAAAAGATTGTCTTCTCCACCCATCCTTCGCTCCTAGAAACAATAGCAATGGTCTTACCGGCCGAAGTAATACTGTATGCCTGATAGTCATTCTTCATTTGGAGATGCCTGATAGTCCTTCTCCACCCATCCATCATTCGGGTGAACCACGCATATCTTGTCTTCTGCATGCTTATTTACTTTAACTACGAAGGCAACAATCTGCCGAAGGCACATACACCTGTTGAAGACCCATGTCTTCACACATCATCCACCATTCCACCTCTATCTAAGTTGACCTCCCAAAAAGAGCATCAACATTGTACAAAAGTGACAAAAGTTCTTACACCAAGCCATTACGTTTGTTGCCCAAACTGGTATATGTAGTTGAACCTAAATAAGAAATATCTTCAATAACACATTATAAGTCGGTTTGCATAAAACAAACCGCAAAGTTGGTCTTCTCAAACCCTAAAAAAGATTGTCTTCTCCACCCATCCTTCGCTCCAAGAAACAATAGCAATGGTATTACTGGCTGAAGTAATACTGTATGCCTGATAGTCCTTCTTCATTTGGAGATGCCTGATAGTCTCCATCATTCGGGTGAACCACGCATATCTTGTCTTCTGCATGTTTATTTACTTTATTTACTTTAACTACCGAAGGCAACAATCTACCGAAGGTACATACACCTGTTGAAGACCCATATCTTCACACATCATCCACCATTCCACCTCTATCTAAGTTGACCTCCCCAAAAGAGCATCAACATTGTACAAAAGTGACCAAAGTTCTTACACCAAGCCATTACGTTTGTTGCCCAAACTGGCATATGTAGTTGTTAAATAAGAAATATCTTCAATAACACGTTATAAGTCGGTTTGCACAAAACAAACCGCAAAGTTGGTCTTCTCAAACCCTAAAAAATATTGTCTTCTCCATCCATCCATCGCTCCAAGAAACAACAGCAATGGTCTTACTGACCGAAGTAATATTGTATGCTTGATAGTCCTTCTTCATTTGGAGATGCCAAATGTTTAGATAATTATAGCTCTGAGACTGAGAGTTTAGTTGATCTCAAACAGTTTAATTAATCTTAGTTCCATTTTTATATACATAGTAAAGCATAATTCAATTGAATTGATGAAATATTCTAGGCTACAGGGCCAATATTGCATTATTCTAATGAGAAATTAATGCCTTCATTTTCTTTTTCTTTCCCTCTTTTAGCGGCTAGGGTTTTACGTGGTTTTTTAGTCTAGAATGCCTTCGTTTTCATGACTTTGATGATCGGGCCATGAGGTTTTAATCAATTTGCACCCGAATGTAAAATTTGACTAATGTATACCCTCTGTTAATTTGACCATTTGGACTTCAGTTAAATTGATGATGTGGAGAGTGGTTTTCAGTTAAATTTATGACGCAAGTGCTTAAGTGTAAAAAAAAAATGTTTTAAAAATCATATTAATTTTAAAATTAAAAAAAATCTCAAATCCCCACCAACCATCTGTCTCTTCTCCCCTCCTCCTCACTCTCTCTTTCAGTGGGAGTGGTCACGTTCCCATAAAACATTTTAAAAACAAATCAAGAAAGTTCTTAAGCCAAAGCCTACACATACGGTTTGTTGCCTTGAAATTAAATAAGAAATATCTTCAATAAAACGCTGTACGTCGGTTTGCGAAAATATAAAAAAAGAAAGAAAAAGAAAATTGCAGAGTCGGTCTTTTTCGAACCCTAAAAAAAATTGTCTTCTCTGGTCTCCACCCATCCGTCGCTCACTGGCTCGTTGGCTCCAAGAAACAAGGATGAAAAACTCATTGGAAAGCTCTATGTTAAACCCCGTTCAACCTTGACCCAAATGTACAGAGAGAATATACTATTTCTATTACTCAAAACACAATACAATTCAACATCCTTACAATACTAATTAAACTCCTAATATAGTCAATTAATTGCTAATACAAAAGACTGAAACACCCTTAGCATCCTATCACTCTGAACCGGAGGAGAACATCACCAACGCTCTTTCTGGCCCAAGTGAAAATACTGTATCTGTACGCATGCGTTTCTCTCTCTCTCTCTCTCTCTCTCTCTCTCTCTCTCTCTCTTTTTTCAATATTTAAGGTTATTATTTTAGTGGAGTCTCGAACTCTGATGGATGATCCTCCCTGCTCCCCCATCCCATGAGAACTAGTCTGCGATGTAGTTTCGTTGGTCTGTCTTGGTTGGGATTTGTCTTCCGTGGTCGTTTTTGTTTGCTTCCTTGGTTGGTTAAGGATTGTTTTGTTTCTCTTGGCCAAACCCTAAACCCTTTTAATGAAATCACTACTGACAAACAAAAAAAAAGGTTTTATTTTAGTGGAGGCTTCCCATGAAATATATATGTTTAAAGTTATTACTTTTCATTAGTTCAAAATTTATTTTTTTTCAATTCGCATATTTTTATGAATTTGGGAATCAATTCGGTTGTCTCTTCTCTTGTGGGCTGCTAATCATACATGGTTTGGCTTTGGTTTTATTCAAGACTGATATAACAAACTAAAAAACTTTATTTGTCTCTTATGTACCTATTTTTTATCTGTACATACATATATATATATATATATATATATATATATATATAATTCTATCCAATTTGCCATTCAGCTAAATCCCGAGATAGAGAAGAAAATGGAAGAAGCTCCTAAACAGCAACATGAGGGAAAGCAGGATTCGAGCCTGTAAAAATCCTCACCCATTTAATTTGGCCTCTATTATTCTTGTCATTTTTAACGTGTCCTCGTGTCGTGTATGATGTGACTATTCCCCCCTCTTTCCCAATTTGAAATGGTTCAACTGCCAATCTGCAGGCCTCTCCATTTTAATCTTGATGATATTGCAAAGTTAAGGAAGTTAGTGCCCCCAACGCGTGATGATCCTAATAGGTTTCCAAAGTTCATCTTCAAAATGGTGATGAGCCATCTTGAAAACAAAGATAGTGTATGTTCCTTTTTATTGCTCTAGACCCATCTGGGTTCACATGCTATAGCTTGTTTATAAATCTTGTCATCACTTTGGAACTTTGTATGATTGTATCTATGATTGTTGTAGGATGCTGGTGGTGAAGATGTCGGGACATCGATCTGTGAGGAGGTAATGAAATGGATTCTCATAAGTCCAAGTTTACCTGGTGTTCTTTCGAAGATTTTGCTCTTTGAATTTCGATTGTTTCGAATATTAGACATATGCTGTTTTAGGCACATAAAATGTTGTTTGCGAGTGAACCATCATTAGGTTCCACTAATCAAATCTAAAAGGAAAGAAAGTGATACGAGTTTGATGCAAAGTGGGAATAAAATAGTTCCCTGAGTCTGAAAATTTGATCTTTCTAGTCTGGTCAGATGGATATGCTGATTTGAAATGCATGTTATAGTTTGTGCTGAAATTTTTCAGGAGGAGTCGGAGGTGGATGTTATGGATCTGGGTGACGATCCTGAATTATGGCCAGATGAGGTGAGGAAATAATATCTATGTATTTGATAAACTTTATTAGCTTGTTTTTGTAAATGTTGCAATCACTTTTTTTTTTTTGGTGATGCTCCTTATTCTAATTGGATGATATGTTTATGGAGTAAAAAAGAAAATTGATATATGCCAATTTGAAAAAATTGAAAATCAAAATAATGCTATGTACTGAAACAGTTTTGTACTGGAATTTTGCAGCTGTATGATGAGTATTACAGAGAGGAACAGGAGAAGATGCAGAAGGGGTTGGAGAGGGTGAGGAAGTAAAATTTGGTTAAATGTATATAGGTGGATTCTTGTTTGATATATATAGAGCCTATAGGTGGATTGTTCCAAGAGTCGACGAATACGGTCATCTATGTGAACTCAAGTTGATATTTCTGTCAATGTATTTGTTTTGATAAGATATGTCTGTCAATGTTGAGATGCATGTAAGAACTTGTTTGGAAATTAATGTTGTAATTCACTTTTGATCTCTGATTGTTTAACTACAGTTGGCTGCGAGGATGGGGAAGCGAGTGGAAGAAATTTGGTGGTGAAGAAAAGTAAAAGAGACGTCAAGTGGCTGGGCTTCAATATTTCTAGTATTTTTCATGTTCTGAATAAATTAATTAATGCTGACTCACAAATGGAATTGGTTTCCCATTCCAGCTGTTCTAGATATGTTTCTTTGTTGTTGCATTTTAATTAAAGTCTTGGAAACGAATAGAGCACCAAGGACTAGTATGAGTGTCTGTTCCGTTCATTCACAAGTAATGCAAAAGAAGTCCTTTTTTACTAACTTGTGATTTTGTTGCAAAAAAGCTCGTTTGGAAGTGATTCTAAATAGGCCAGAATCATTTCGTGGCCAGATGCTTCACATAAAACCACTTAAAGTGATTATAGAGAGAAGTCATTCTCCAAAGAAGCACTTTTTGGCTCCCACACAATGATGGGAAAGAGACCACTAATGATGGCTAAGTATCAGGCCAAGGAAACAATTTAATGCATAAACCGGCGCAACTATGGGTAACTATCAACTTTTGATGGATGTAGACCTCACAATCAACCAAGGACGCAACGGTGTTCCTGTTAAAACTCTTGTTCCCTTCTATTTTTTGCCTAAAAATTGTGGAGTGTTGCAAGCCGCAAATTGGTGTGAGTTTAAAATTCACACTGATCGACGCTTGAGCCAAGCCAGCACTACGTTTGTTGCCCAAACTGGCATATGTAGTTGAAATTACGTATGAATTATTCTTCAACTACCATTAATATTCCCAATCATGCAACAAATGGAGAAAGTATTGTCTTCATGGATCTCTAATCAAAATTGGGGCCTCTTGAAAAGTTAGCCACCCCTATATACTATATAAATCAAGAATGACTCCGATTCCAAATGACTCGAACTGTCAAAACTATTCTGAAGATTTCTACTTTCATGTTTGTTTCTCTTGTTATCCTTTTCCCCTCTTCAATCCTAAAAGAACACTACCGACATCTATAATCAAGGAAAACACATAAACAGGTACTTATATAATCCCATATTAAATGAAACTGAGCACCTAAAACTACCCACATAAACTTTTAGGTAACATACCACCACAAAGACTGGCTTGGACAACTCTGAAACCAAGGCAATGCATCGAGCAACTCCAACCTGAAAATCATGTCCATGCTACAAATCCCATTTATAAAATTATTGCATCCCAGAATTGAAAAGTAGGATCTCCTGCACAAGAAGTGCAAATCCAGGAGGAAAGTTATTACACATTTCACGAAGAGTGTAGAGGAATCCTATCATGCGGAGCACATATTACTCAGTGCTACTTAAGTTTTACTAGATCTACCCTTCAATCACTAGAAATGCAGCAGCCCAGTTGCTTAAATGGACCAGACATAATAAACTCAAAGCATGAGTAATCCAGGAAGTAACATCTAGCGCACAGAAACTGAATTAAACTAATCCAGTACCAGGAACAATGAACTATCATGATTACCCACTGGATAAATAAGTTCAATGAGTCTGATCAAGGAAAAAAAAGTTCAATGAGCATGAATAATAAAGACAGTAACATCAAATTTCTAGCACATCACAACTGATAAAACTAATGCAGCACCAGAAACAATAACTATCATCATTACCCACAGTGATAAGTAAGTTCAATAGAAACTATCTAGGTCAAACAGAAAAGAGAGGGAGAGAGAGAGGGTTGAGTGGAAAGGGGAAGAGGGGAGCTCCAAAATCATAAAGCACGCACAATATAGGCAACCTAGATATTAAATTCTGAAAATTTCAATAAGAATTACTACTACTAGAATGTATTGGTTGTAACTTCTAGCAGAACTGCCAACTACCACCAAGAATTAAGCAATCCAACCAGTCTCTGGATTTAATTTCAACTCTTCTCATGCATAAACTGTCAGACTGGAGAAATGATCACTTGCACAAGGATTCCTGTGAAACAAATTTCAAAATCTGTTGGATCTCCAATGTTAGGCCTGCCTGGACTGAGAACCACCATAGCCACCAGTGGCCTGTGAAGGATCAGATCTCCATGATGCATTAGAGTACCCTGAATTTCCATTGGTGTCGCCATAGCCACTCCCCATGTAGCCACCACGGGTCCCTTGTTGCTCTCCACCGCTAGCACTACCACCAGAGTTGCTAGTTGGGGTACTTCCACCACGCCCACCAGAGCTCCCGTATCCACCAGGATAAGAAGCGTAACTCCCGCCATAATTTCCATACCCATAACCTTGATTTCCGTAACCAGAGGCCCCACTTGGGGATTGACCCCTTGGAGCAGAAGGAGCACCACTTCCACCAGGAGCACTCCAAGGAGCTGCAGCCCCATAACCAGAAGCACCATACCCAGAAGGAGTTTGGTTGCTCCAAGTACTTTTCAATGCAGCAGGTGCCCCACTAACATAACCAGCATTAGGGGCATTTGGATTTCCATATGATCCTGCAGGACCACCAAAACCAGTATTGGCACTTCCATAACCACCAAGACCATAACTTCCATAACCTCCATAACCAACCCCTGTATTTGCCGCCCCATAACCATACCCTGGCGCACCATAACCAGAATATGGAGGGAAACCACCTGCTGTAGTTTGTGGCTGCATGTACCTATTGCCATCCATGCGGCCATCAAATGCATTTGTACTGGCACCGGAGGCATTGTAACCTTGAAAACCCCCACCACGGGCCCCACCACCAGGATTTGCATCTTTCGGAAGTGCTCGCTTTACCTCTACAAGTTTACCATTCAACTCATGGTAGTTCTTGTGTAGTACTCTATCAACTGCATCTTCAGTATCAAATGTTATGAAACCAAAACCACGGGGTCGTTGAGTATTCTGGTCATACATTATTACTACATCAGTGACAGAGCCATAATTTTCAAAGAATTGACGAAATCCATCTTCTGTCAGTGTGGAAGGCAATCCTCCAACAAATATTTTCTTGGTCTTAAAATTTCCTCCCCCTCCAGAGCTTCTGGTGGTATTAAAATTTCCACTTCTATTGGATGTCTGCTGTTCTTCTCTTGATAAAGCCTTTTTTGCTTCCACCTGTGTAGTCAAAGTAGAACATTCAACTGATGAAGGGACAAACATATGTACAGACAAAGCAAAGAAATATATTAAACTAGTATACGCATATCCATAAGGGGCAAGAAACAACCCAATAAAATGAAAGTGGTAGATTTATGTCATTCCTGAAAAGTTGTTCCATATACAAATCAGCTCAGAATCTTTTGTAAGGAACACATAAAAGTAGTAATTGAATCTTAAAAACTAGAAGTCAATCATTTTGAGACTAAAAGCTAAAAATTTGTATTTGGACAATTTCACAATTGAAGGCCATGACAGAAATTTATAAAATAAAAGAAAATAATCCAACCTCCCTATGTGTGCATTTGTACAAACTTTTTAACCAGTACCATTAAGCCGTGCTTAGAAGAAATAAATTCAGCCATTTAAATCAAGAGTAAGTTGGTGTTGTTATACAACATAATTTTCAGTAAATTACTGACAGTTTAGGGATTGAATAGTCAAGTTTTTTAATGTTGACAACTTATCTTGTGCTTCCATGAAGCACCCTATGCGTATAATTTCACATCAATGGGCACCCAGAATATAAAATCATAGAAAAATCTTCACTAACGAATAAGAAGTAGATAATAATACGAAACTCCCATTAAAAATCATTGCTTGCACACACTTTACATCTTAGAAAAGATGTCACATAAACAAAATTATTTCTAACAGACTAAGTAAGCAATGAGAATGGAATTCTCGCCCTAATGAACTTGGTTTTCATCAGTCAAAGACCACAATGAACCCAATAATCACATAACTGCAAGTACTTCTGTAAAGTTCCCCACGAGGAGCTTAACAACCAACCAAATCAGTAGAAAGTCAAAAGATACAATAAAGATAGACTCTTTAAAAAAATAAAAATAAAAACTCAATATAAAGATAGACTTATAAGCCAAATAATTGACTTTCGCTAACTCTTATAGGTCTTCAGCAAGCAGATGCAAGCCCAACTCAAAATTAGCATTACCCAGTACACATTACCACATAATAAGAGACTCCAGAATGCAATAACACTCAAAGACAGCTAAAGCATGTAAAAGCCTATCAAAATTAACATCAAAATAGCCAAACCCATAACACATTACAGCAAAATAACGAAATCCCAGAACGCAGAACACTCACAAGAAGCTAAAAAAACAATTAAACCCAATAAAATTAGCATAAACAAGAAAAGCATTAAGCAATTCCAATCGATGAGCCAATGCAGCTAAAATAGAAGAGGGACAGAGACTGACCACTCGGCCATCAATGGTGTGCTTGTCGTTGAGGACCCTATCGAGCACAGCGGGATCAGAGAAGACAACGAAGCCGAAGCCCCTGGGCCGGCCAGTGGTCTTGTCGCGCATGATGACGGTCTGGGTGACGTCACCGTACTGGTTGAAGTAGTCGGTGAGCTTGTCCTCTGTGGTGTCCCAGGCCAGCCCTCCTATGAACAGCTTACCTTCGTCTGAGTCCATGGCTGGCTCTGTGTGTGTGTTTTGTGTCTTGGTGTTGTTTCTGCTCTCTGAAACGAGAGAGAGAGAGAGAAGGAGACACAGAGTGGGGTTAGAAAGGAAGGAGGAAGTGTCGAGGAGGGAAGGGCTACTGCCTAGGGTTTGTTTGAAAACGACACCGAATTGGGCACGTGGGAACTGGAAGATAGCCGCGAGGTTTGCCCAACCAATGGCGAGAATGTTATACATTAAATAAAATTACTGTGGAAGCTAAAACAACAACGGGGTGGTGGCGCAGTTGGCTAGCGCGTAGGTCTCATAGCTTCTGAGTTATCCTGAGGTCGAGAGTTCGAGCCTCTCTCACCCCACTACAGTTTTTCCTTTTTATCATTTTGATAAATTATTTCTTTTGATATAAAGTCCTTCATTTTTAAAGGAAGACCCTTATTTATTTTTTTTGATTGTCTATTAGTAATGATGGAGCACTTACCTCCAATTGTGGATTGAGATAACATGAACAAAAAATTTATCATTCCTCACTTGAAATTGTTTCTAGGCACATTAATTTTTTTAATAGTATCATAGTTTAATTTATGGTTTTCTAGAAGATGGGACAATTTAGTGGAGACCCAACACTTCTTACTCACATATTGTGATGATCATAGTTCAAATTTTGCCTTCTTTTTTCTTTCTCGAAGAAAAGAAATGCAACATTAATTCATATAATTGCAATTGTAACTAAGTT